CCTGAGTTAAGGGTGTTTGTACATGGACAGGACTCGAATTATAACTTGAGGTAACAGTAGTGAAGACAAAAATCTAGAGTGATGTTAGAAAACACATATGTTTTTAAAAACTTGTTTAAACAATATGATTTTTAAGTTGTGTGCCTTTATGTATTTTGGCATACTTGGACCAAATTCCATTTTGAAAGCTTCTATCTATAACCGTGTGATTTTACGCCTTAGCAATTAATGAACTTCTGAGGCTCTCAGGCCTACAGAATAAAATCTTAAATTACAAACTACAAAACTGATGTCCAGCAAGAACTCAGTAACACAATGTATTTAGCTGTTTATAAATATACCATTCAAATTAAAATACTGTATATGCACAGCTTTTATATTATTGACATGTATGCCCTAGTTCTCTTAGCATCCTGTTTGCTTTCAGGAAACTGTTCATTTTGACTTAAGTCCTGTGTGGTTTGGACTCCAGCTTACTGAGACCCCTTCTCTCCCTTTGAGCCACGACAGCAGCCTAGTGTCAACTGTCACAGATATTCTGTGTTTTCCAAGGATTTTTAGACAAATGGACCCAGGATTTGCCCATGGGAACCACCTTGTATTGATTCTACTGCTCTGTCCATGCAGCTCACAGCAAGTGAGTCTGTTGTTCAACACTTTGCTTGTATTCAGAGTGTTTACCAGCACAAAATAAACACCTAGCAGTTGACACTGGTGTGTGCCTAGTGCTGTCATTGGGAGAAAAAGACACCTGAAAGCTTCCTCCGCACCCACACAGAGATGGTCACTATGGGATATGGACTCACTTAAATAAGACGGTAAAAATTTCACTCCTCAGCCGTCCATCCCTTTTTCTAGTCCCCTTGTAATGTTGTTCTGAGCTTCTGCTTTTTTCCTTGCCTGCCCAGGTCCTTTTCCGGCACTGGCAGCCTTTATCGCAACAAATTGCCACTAGGGAGGGAACCAAGCTAGTGAGCAGTGTCGTAGCAGCTGCTGAGTGGCCTTGCATGGGAACTTCTTGGTCTTTTCCTAGATTTCCCCTCTTGCTATGGGAGAAAAGGGACGAGGAGTGGGGGATGTGGAAGAAGAGACATAGGAGAAGCAGAGTTATGAGGAGCAGGGCCAGGAGAAAGCAAACGTCGGAGACAAGAGAAAGAGTGATGGTGGATGAGGACAGCAGAAGAGGGGAAATTTGTGGAAAGAAGTCTGGGAGGAAAAATACTTCTTTTTTAGTTTGCTGTCATTGTGCATTTTGACACTTTTGGTGTGTAATAATCCATTTAATTATTTCTCCTGTGTAGTCATTTAGATCAAAATTTTTAGAATTTTCACTGATTTTTGGGGGTGTCAGTTTCTGCATCCCAACTTGAAACCTTGGGCTTGATTTTCAGACTGGCTCAGTACCCAGTTCTGACTCCAGTTGAAGCTAATGGGAGATGAGTCTTCAACATTTTTGAAAGTCAGGTTCAAGATGTCTCAGTTTGTGCCCTAAAATCGGGCTGCTTCTGTAAAATGTTGCCATTAGTCAGGGGTTTTTTTGGGGGGGGGAGGGAGGAGAGGCGTTATCTGAACAATAAGGGGTGGGGGGAGAACATATTTTAAAGAGTTAAAAATCTGATTTTAAAACCATAAATATTGGTGGGGAAACTCAGATAAGTACAGCTCCCGAAACTACTTGGAACTCATCTTTTGAAATCATCTAGACTTACAGCTGACTGTGTCCCTTTCAAGTTTTGTGGTTGAAGCAGCTTACAGTTTTAAAAAGGAGATAATTGTCCGTTGAAATATCTCTGCACTGAAAGAAATAAGTATTCTTGATGCTTATGAAATGGTTTTGGTATAAAATAAACCATGTGTGGAATGCTGAAACATAATTTAATAAAGCAGGGTTTACATTAAGCAACTGTTTGGAATGTTGAACAGCTAATTATAATACTAAGGCTCATAAGCTTTGTAATAATGGATGACGACACTCTAGTGTTCTTTCACATCTCTAATTTGAAATTTTTATTATATAAGAAATTATATAGAAGTTAAGTCATGGGATATTGAGATTAAGAAATCATAATAGATGAATTTCACTAGAACAGTAATTCCTCTGTAGGAGGTGGGGGAGTTGGCAGCATCAACAGACAGGGAAGGTTAGCAAGTTCACATACCAAATTCTATAAAAACTGGCTTCAGAGTAGCAGCCGTGTTAGTCTGTATCCGCAAAAAGAACAGGAGTACTTGTGGCACCTTAGAGACTAACACATTTATTAGAGCATAAGCTTTCGTGGGCTACCGCCCACTTCTTCGGATGCACATAGAGTGGAACATGTATCTCCTCAATGTATGTTCCACTCTATATGCATCCGAAGAAGTGGGCAGTAGCCCACGTATGCTCTAATAAATTTGTTAGTCTCTAAGGTGCCACAAGTACTCCTGTTCTTTTTATAAAAACGGGGGTATTCCTGTAGTTATTTAGTGCATCTCATTAAATGAGTGCAGTATTAAACTTGAAAATGTACAGCATGTCTCTATTTATTGTGTTTAACAATTTGCATGGAGTTTGCCACTGGTGGGTGTCTTTTATGCAGATAAATGAATAAATATTGGCTTGTCAGTTTCATCTAATGTAGTTATACTCACAATTACTAAGTTACTTATGCACTGTGTTTGACTGTTGAGAAAAGATATTTTAATGTTTAATCTGTACACTAATTTTGTTTTTAGTGAAATGTGTATAGCTATTAAAAGAATAATCTAAGCTTACAATATTTTTTCTAGAAACCAATTAGTAATGGCCTTCCACCGACACCTAAAGTCCATGTAAGTATATAATATTGGACCAGCCAAACTAATTTTGAATATAGTATAGAAATGTTTTTTTGTATTAAAAAAAAATCAAATTTGAATATTCAGTGAAGTTCTATGTCTGTTAAAAAAACGTCCAATTGAACAATTGGTTTAGATAGTTGTCACAACAGTTTTTTTTAAAGTAAAATATTTGAAAGCCAGTATCATTAACCATACCTATCCTTTAAGATTTGCATTTCAGAACAGATTGAGTTTTAAGAAAGTTCTTGAAATAAAAATGTGAGTGATGATTTATACAACAACTGATGACATTTCAAATTTGTAAAATATTTCAGAAATAAGAGAGCACTCTTGAGACTACTTTGATTTTTATCATACTCCCATAGTTCACACAGAGCCTTTTTCAGTTTCCTCTCATGCTGCAATAAATAGACATTGTTATAATCAGTTACCAGAACTGGCAGGTCTTGAAGTATGTTAATTCAGAAATATATGAGAGGCAAAGAAACTGTGACTGGCTTTATTTAAAAAAAATAAGCTTCCCTTTCTCTGGATGTTTTATGGGGATGAAATCACTCTGACAGAAAAAATTAAATAAACTGGTCCCTAACTCTTTTACCCCTTCAATAAGGCAAAAACTGTGCCATTTGAAATACATAATTAGAATTTTTCCTAATACCTGTTGATGTAAAGTATCAAATTCACTGTTCTAAATGGCTTATATTTTACTTTCACAGATGGGTGCTTGCTTTTCAAAGGTTTTCAATGGGTGCCCATTAAAAATTCATTGTGCAACATCATGGATTAATCCAGATACAAGAGGTAGTACATTATGTATTTTCATCCTATTTATTCTCTCCTGAAGGTTTTAAGAACATGATCTATTCAGTTTAGATATCAAGAGAATTCTTTATAAAAGTGTCACTTGTGTATATAGGAATTTTCTCTTTATTGGATTGCTTAAACTCAAATCAACCATTGATTTAAAAAAAAAAGTAAATTCCCTTTACTTTTAGGTCTGTGATGTAGATTGCAGCTTTTTAGTTCCATAAAATAAGTTTACCATACAGATGAAAGTGAGGTACATGTATTCTTCTTTTTGGTGGAGGTGTAAAACACACTCTGCTTCTGGGAATCAAAAATCCCAGGTTTGGAGATAATGCTGTTACCCCTAGTGTCCTGGTCAAACAGCCACATCCTGACTTCCTCGGTTCCCCCTGTAGTTTCATTGGCTATATTATTGTTCACTTAACTTCTCAGATCTGTTGTGGGCAGAGAGAGAGGCTGCCACCATTACCATCATAGGTAAATATATTTCAGTGTAGGATGAAGTGATCTATGCTACAGGAGTCAGACTATAGGGGAGGGGCGAATTGGTGATATGAGACTCAAGTTTTGCCTGAAATTTTAGCAAGCTGCTAGTACTAAAATGACCAGCAACAAAATACTTTTCTGAAATTTAAGTGATCAAAATCAGTCTTGGAAGTTGACACCTCATTTAGATGAGACAATTCTAACTTCTCAGCAAACAATGGTTTTAACTCTCTTGGAAACTCTTTGGAAACTCAGAAGGAGAATGCAGTGGTGGCCAACATTCAGAAGGTTACCTTTGTAACCACGAGGGATAGATGTGGAATTATCTTAAATTTTGCAGAAGCCGATGGGGCCCCCAAAGAAGAGCTGCTCTAACATGTCAGTCAGTACCATCATTGATAAACACCCTATGAAATGGTTATGGGTCCTGCAGAAAGACTTATAGAACTGTTAAGTAATGTATATTAATGTGAGTTAAACTTCATCTTTATAAAAAGTTTCAGAGTAGCAGCCGTGTTAGTCTGTATCC